AACCTTAACTTAACTTAGTCTTAACTTAGTCTTAACCTTAACGTAACTTAGTCTTAACTTAGTCTTAACAGTAACTTAACTTAGTCTTAACCTTAACTGAACTTGGTCTTAACAGTTACTACACTTAACCTTAACTTAGGGATTCTGATTCTAGTTTAAATAACTTAGTCTTAACCTTAACTTAACTTAGTCTTAACTTAGTCTTAACAGTAACTTAACTTAGTCTTAACCTTAACTTAACTTAGTCTTAACTTAGTCTTAATAGTAACTTAACTTAGTCTTAACCTTAACTTAACTTAGTCTTAACTTAGTCTTCATAGTAACTTAACTTAGTCTTAATAGTAACTTAACTTAGTCTTAACCTTAACTTAACTTAGTCTTAACAGTAACTTAACTTAGTCTTAACCTAACTTAACTTAGTCTTAACCTTAACTTAACTTAGTCTTAACCTTAACTTAACTTAGTCTTAACTTAGTCTTAACCTTAACTTAGTCTTAACTTAGTCTTAACAGTAACTTAACTTAGTCTTAACCTTAACTGAACTTAGTCTTAACCTTAACTTAACTTAGTCTTAACTTAGTCTTAACCTTAACTTAACTTAGTCTTAACCTTAACTTAACTTAGTCTTAACCTTAACTTAACTTAGTCTTAACTTAGTCTTAATAGTAACTTAACTTAGTCTTAACCTTAACTGAACTTGGTCTTAACAGTTACTAAACTTAACCTTAACTTAGGGATTCTGATTCTAGTTTAAATAACTTAGTCTTAACCTTAACTTAACTTAGTCTTAACTTAGTCTTAACAGTAACTTAACTTAGTCTTAACCTTAACTTAACTTAGTCTTAATAGTAACTTAACTTAGTCTTAACCTTAACTGAACTTGGTCTTAACAGTTACTACACTTAACCTTAACTTAGGGATTCTGATTCTAGTTTAAATAACTTAGTCTTAACCTTAACTTAACTTAGTCTTAACTTAGTCTTAACAGTAACTTAACTTAGTCTTAACCTTAAACTTAACTTAGTCTTAACTTAGTCTTCATAGTAACTTAACTTAGTCTTAATAGTAACTTAACTTAGTCTTAACCTTAACTTAACTTAGTCTTAACCTTAACGTAACTTAGTCTTAACTTAGTCTTAACAGTAACTTAACTTAGTCTTAACCTTAACTGAACTTGGTCTTAACAGTTACTACACTTAACCTTAACTTAGGGATTCTGATTCTAGTTTAAATAACTTAGTCTTAACCTTAACTTAACTTAGTCTTAACTTAGTCTTAACAGTAACTTAACTTAGTCTTAACCTTAACTTAACTTAGTCTTAACTTAGTCTTAATAGTAACTTAACTTAGTCTTAACCTTAACTTAACTTAGTCTTAACTTAGTCTTCATAGTAACTTAACTTAGTCTTAATAGTAACTTAACTTAGTCTTAACCTTAACTTAACTTAGTCTTAACAGTAACTTAACTTAGTCTTAACCTTAACTTAACTTAGTCTTAACCTTAACTTAACTTAGTCTTAACCTTAACTTAACTTAGTCTTAACTTAGTCTTAACCTTAACTTAGTCTTAACTTAGTCTTAACAGTAACTTAACTTAGTCTTAACCTTAACTGAACTTAGTCTTAACCTTAACTTAACTTAGTCTTAACTTAGTCTTAACCTTAACTTAACTTAGTCTTAACCTTAACTTAACTTAGTCTTAACCTTAACTTAACTTAGTCTTAACTTAGTCTTAATAGTAACTTAACTTAGTCTTAACCTTAACTGAACTTGGTCTTAACAGTTACTAACTTAACCTTAACTTAGGGATTCTGATTCTAGTTTAAATAACTTAGTCTTAACCTTAACTTAACTTAGTCTTAACTTAGTCTTAACAGTAACTTAACTTAGTCTTTAACCTTAACTTAACTTAGTCTTAATAGTAACTTAACTTAGTCCTTAACCTTAACTTAACTTAGTCTTAACTTAGTCTTAACAGTAACTTAACTTAGTCTTAATCTTAACTTAACTTAGTCTTAACTTAGTCTTAACAGTAACTTAACTTAGTCTTAACCTTAACTGAACTTGGTCTTAACAGTTACTACACTTAACCTTAACTTAGGGATTCTGATTCTAGTTTAAATAACTTAGTCTTAACCTTAACTTAACTTAGTCTTAACTTAGTCTTAACAGTAACTTAACTTAGTCTTAACCTTAACTTAACTTAGTCTTAACTTAGTCTTCATAGTAACTTAACTTAGTCTTAATAGTAACTTAACTTAGTCTTAACCTTAACTTAACTTAGTCTTAACCTTAACTTAACTTAGTCTTAACCTTAACTTAACTTAGTCTTAACTTAGTCTTAACCTTAACTTAACTTAGTCTTAACTTAGTCTTAACAGTAACTTAACTTAGTCTTAACCTTAACTGAACTTAGTCTTAACATTAACTGAACTTGGTCTTAACCTTAACTTAACTTAGTCTTAACTTAGTCTTAACCTTAACTTAGTCTTAACCTTAACTTAACTTAGTCTTAACCTTAACTTAACTTAATCTTAACCTTAACTTAACTTAGTCTTAACTTAGTCTTAACCTTAACTTAACTTAGTCTTAACTTAGTCTTAACAGTAACTTAACTTAGTCTTAACCTTAACTTAACTTAGTCTTAACAGTTACTTAACTTGGTCTTAACAGTTACTAAACTTAACCTTAACTTAGGGATTCTGATTTTGATTCTGATATGTAGAATGGCTCTTTATTACAGTATTATACAATTATAGAATAATATATTATCTTATTTCTATCACTAAGAGGTCAAAAGGAGCATTTTAACGATGTGGTTTGTCAATGAGGAGAGCATGTTATATCAGTGCTGCATCATATCATATATCATGTGTTTTAATATGTAAACACGTATAAAAAGCATCATATTTGCCTCTGAATTTGCTCCGTATTGTTCTTTCTGTGTCTCTGTATGCACCACATTTACAAAAGCCAATTCCTCTTATGTGTGAACCTAGAGGTAATAAAGCCAGTTCTGATTCTGAAGAGCAGAAGAACTTCATCCTTTGAACCTAACATGAGTTTCCTTCAATGACCATGTTTATTTGATTAGAAAGAAAACACACTGTCTCTGATTTTGTGAAATAATTCAACTGCAAAAAAAGTCAAATCAAATGCAACCAGGAAGGAGAAGCTGAGGTGTTGGCGCCCCCTGGTGGTCAATCACCGGAACTGGACATATAAAGTTAGACATTAAAAATACTTTAAAAAGTGAAATAGAGAAAATAACAATTACAAACAAAATGAAAAATATTATATCAAATACAAGCAATACAAAATATTATGTAGAAACATTTCCGAATAAATTACATATAGAGAGCGAGAGAGACAGTTAATAACAGATATATATATATCGTTTAATATCATTTAATATAATATCTTCAGGGTAAACGATGTGTGTCTACCCACAGGAACTCCAACCTGCAGGTAGAGAACTCTGAGGTGCTCCCAATGGCCAACGGTGTGTGTGTGTGTGTGTGTGTGTGTGTGTGTGTGTGTGTGTGTGTGTGTGTGTGTGTGTGTGTGTGTGTGTGTGTGTGTGTGTGTGTGTGTGTGTGTGTGTGTGTGTGTGTGTGTGTGTGTGTGTGTGTGTGTGTGTGTGTCAGGATGAGTAACACAATAAGAAACCTTTGTACAGTTTGATTATCTGTGAATGATATTGATCTAAACTGTGTTTTATCAGTTCAATGTGTTGTTTCTTGTTGTTGTGTTAAGGAAAGTGCTAAATACATTTGAGTTTATTATAAATACTTGTACTATTGTTACAAGAAGACAAGGCACAAAGAAAGACTAACAGCTCAAACCTGAATATAATGGCTTCATGTGATTTATGGCTCATCTCTACTTTATGGCCAAATCAACTTTTGTTATTTTTTGAAGCTGTTTTTATTGGTCGTATTCAGTCAGCTCAGGGAAAACAACTGAAAGATGGCATTTAGATGAAAATACTTATACTTATATACTTAACCCTTAGATGCCCGAGTGACTGGACCCTACACTAAGTGGGTCAAAAAGGACCCGTATTAGAATAATATGTGTTTTTATGCCATCTGTCATTTTGGTTAAGAAAAATCACTTGTATAATATTTAGTATTATATTTTGGTTCATGCTAGAAATATTTAATATTTAATTTTTCACTATTTATAATTGTAGACATTTTTTTTACATTTTGAAAAAAACGTTTTGAACATATCGATGCAAAGATCTCCGCTATTCTGAGACCCTCACAGTATTCCAGTCCCTTTTCAAAACTCATCTCTTCTCCTCTTGTCTACTCATAGCCCACCCCCCATCAATCCATGCCGGTTGATCAAGTTTGATAGTCCTATACCCCCCACCCTAACCTTCCCTTATATTGTAAAGCGATTTTGAGTCCTTGTAAAGCCCTATACAAATATAATGTATTATTATTATTATTATACTGACAGGTTTCAGATCTTGCTGTGTAAAATAATCTTCCTGAGAGGTGTCACTTGTGATGTAGTCTGTGTGGTCTACAGTGAATGTATTCCTGACAGCAGGTGATAAGAATCAAAGGTTCCCAAAGGATCCCATAGGAAATGCATGTGGGTCTTTTTTGACCCACTTATGGAAGCTTGGGGTAGAAATACAAAAACTACAATTTCTTAAAATGTATCAAATGTAAATTAAACATTTGAATGGCATGAAATCTAAAACGTGTTTTTTGAGGAATAGCTGGAATATGAAATGATAAAAAAATGTAATTACAAAGATACTTCAAGAAAACCACCTCACCGGGTCAAAAAAGACCCACTTGTGCATCTAAGGGTTAATAAATCTACTAAATTATTACATTATAAGGAGCAAACATGGTTGGTGATTTTGTGAAATGATGATGCTCGCTCTCGACAGCAGGTGGCGGTAAATGCACCTTTAAGTAGTTTGCGACCCGCTAATAAGAAGAAGAAGATTTCCCGGCTTCTGATTGGTCCGTCAGTCGCTGTTTGGACATGTGACACCAGAGATGGCAGCCTGTACCCGAAACAGAGATGGTGAGTTGGTTTCTTTTAAAAGTTGCAGTTGATTTAAAAATAGGTTTAGTGCTGTAAATAATATAATCAGCTGGAGATGAAACTCAGAGTCAGTCAGGGATTATGTTCATCTGAAGAATGTTCCTGTCTGCAGTTTGTAATGAAGCTAAACAGCCGAGAGCTAGCCGGCTGTGCTAACATGCTAACTGTTAGTCTGTGTTTTTTAACGGTTATAAAAACATAGTTACAAAGTGCTTTTACATATAAAATACACAGAGAGAAAGTGAATTAAACAACAGCATCTAAACATAGGAACACAGAGTAAAAAACATAGAACATAATGAAACAGAAATACATAGATTCATATTCTGAAAGTAGTAGTAGTGGTAGTAGTATTAGTAGTAGTAGTTTTAGTTGTAGTAGTAGTAGTAGTAGTAATAGTGGTGCTGGTGGTAGTAGTCGTAGTAGTAGTAGTATAAGTTGTATAAGTAGTAGTAGTAGTAGTAGTAGTAACTTAACCTAGTCTCAACTGTGACTTAACTTAGTCTTCAGTACTGTAGTAAAGAGCAGTTAAGACTAAGAGGAACACTGTTTTTTTAATTCTGTATTCTGCACTGCGTCTTAAAATATAAATGAAATAACAGTTTTGAATGTTGTGATTTGCCACTAACATAATGTAACCCTCAGGTGATGACAGCATCCTGGAGCCTCTGAGTTTCCCGGAGCAGCCGCCTGATGCTCCCGGTGTCCCCGGTGAGGAGCTGCTGGTCTGTCTCTTCTGTCCCGACTCAGAGAGACAGAAAGACGTCCTCCTCAAACACCTGCTGCTGGAGCACAAGCTGGTCATCGCAGACGTCAAACTCATCGCTGACCTCCCAAAGTACGAGCTGCAGCTGTAGATCAAACTCAGGGATAGAATAGAACATATCTTTATTGTCATCATACAAAGTACAACGACATGTCTTTGGCAACTCTCACTGCAGTAACAAATAGACACAAATAAATGAATCAGAGGTGAAAGCAGAGGTCGTAGCGATGACAGCGCAACGAGATAACACTCAATGTCAATGTGCATATTTACTCAGTCTAAATACATGAAATGTACAGAAGTGTATGAATGTAGTGTGTTTCTAACTGTGTGTTTCTAAAGGCTGATAGGAACCAAAGGATGCAGTAGAATAGCCCTAAATATTTGTAAATAGTGGCTGCAGTCTTTGAGATGAAATGAATGTGGAGAATGTTCCTGTCTGCAGTTTGTGATGAAGCCAAACAGCAGAGAGCTAGCCGGCTGTGCTAGTATTTGATTGATTTGTTTATTCCACACATGGCAGGTATTTGAAAACAAAACATGTACACTTGTATTCTTTTCCTTTTATAGAGCGTGGTGGAAAGGAGCAGGGAGAAGAAACTCTTATTTGACCTGCCTCTTCAAAACCAAAACAAAATGAACTAACCATTCAAAAGTCAAATCAAAGCAATATTCTTTCAGTCACAGCTGCTTACAAATACTGACCCATAAAGCCAGAACAGAATCAACTCCATCCTGTCTCATGATTGATCTCCATTAGATGGCAGCACTTCATATTCTCTGTCAGAGCATGCTTTGGGTCCCAGAGGATGCTGTTGGAGCCTCTCAGGTTATTATGGTCTGCTGAGTCACAAAGGCTCTGACAGGATTTTGATTTGGACAAACACTTGTACCAGGTAGTGTTGCAGTACTCGAGAACAGACACAATCACAGAGGTAAAGAACAACAGAAGAATTTCTCTGCTCGCCCAGAAAGACCTCAGACGGCGGAGAAAATACATTCTTTGTTTTGTCCAGATGTTCAATGTGGTCCTTCCAAGTTGAGGTGTGTGTTCTTCTCTCCTGTGTGATGGACGCTGATCCTGATTCCTCCTCCCCCCCCCCTCTCAGGTACTTGGTGTTCTGGAGAGGACGGTTCCTGGAACAGCCCATCACAGATTTCTGCAGCGTCATCAAAACTAACTCCACCGGCCCCATAGGTGAGGTCACTTTCTAAGATACGATAAGATAAGATTTTTTTTTTTGAGAAAAAGTCATAATTTTGTGGTTTTTGAGAAAAAGTCATACATTTGTGTTTTTTGAGAAAAAGTCATAATTTTGTGGTTTTTGAGAAAAAGTCATAATTTTGTGTTTTTTGAAAAAAAGTCATCATTTTGTGGTTTTTGAGAAAAAGTCATACATTTGTGGTTTTTGAGAAAAAGTCATAATTTTGTGGTTTTTGAGAAAGTCATAATTTTGTGGTTTTTGAGAAAAAGTCATAATTTTGTGGTTTTTGAGAAAAAGTCATAATTTTGTGTTTTTTGAGAAAAAGTCATAATTTTGTGGTTTTTGAGAAAAAGTCATAATTTAGTGGTTTTTGAGAAAAAGTCATAATTTTGTGGTTTTTGAGAAAAAGTAAGATTTTTTACACTTTTGAGAAAAAGTAAGATTTTTTACACTTTTGAGAAAAAGTCAGAATTTTGATATTTTGAGAAAAATACCAACAAATTCTCTTTTTTTCTTTTGACTACTTCCATTCTTGAGAGGATAATAAATACATGGATCCTGATGTTGAAGCTCAAGCCGTGGACGAGTGATATTTTTCTAACACTTGGTATCAAAACCCATTTGACTTCTTACTTTTATTCACGTGTAGACCCTGAGACCCTGAGATGGTCAACACTCTGAACCACTGTTCATGCACCCCTGATCTCCTACGATGTGAAAGCAACATTAGCTTGAAATTCGTAGCAAAAATCACTGAAATATGTTGTTCTCTGCTCAGAAAAACTGACATCTCTGTCATGTCTCATGTGTCGTTGTTACAGAGAAGCAGGAGGACTACTTCCTGCTGTGTGACGTCCTCCCAGAGGATCGAGTCCTCAGAGAGAAGCTGCAGCAGAAACGCCTGGTGAGGAAATGTCCGTCTATCTGGAAGACCTGATCTAAGCCTGAGGTTGGCAGGTCTTCTTCTGTGGTGTTTCTGACGGTGTGTCTCCTGCAGGAGGAGAGGGCAAAAGTACCAACATCCTTTACTCAAGTAGAAGTACACATACTCGTGTTTAAAAATACTCTGGTAAAAGTAGAAGTACTGACTAAACTTCTTTACTCAAGTAAAAGTAAAGAGGGCTTTGAAATGTACTTATAGGGGACCTATCATGCAAAATGCACTTTTGTACGTCTTTTCTACATGAATATGTGTCCCCGGTGTTCCAGGGAACTCACCAAGTGTCAGAAAACACAACCCTCTCTATTTTCCTCCATACCCAAATCTCTAAAAAAGGGGCTGCAACGGATCTGATAAAAACTGATCCAGATTTGAACACTGTCCTGACGTCAGGACGGTGGCGCTACGGCTATTGGGCCAACTCCACCAATCAGGAGGAGACAGCCACGGCCATTGCCGTTCCAAAGCGCTGGAGACGCTGTAGTACATATGCCAGGCCTCTAGGTGGTGCTGTTCTCACAGAATCAACCCTTACAAACACAGAGCAAAAAAATGTCAAATTGAGCAAAATGAGGCATGGCTAAAATGCATGATCTGTTTGGTATTTTGAAAAAAGTATAAATATGCCTTATATAGGTATGGTCCTACACTATATTATTCAAATATAGCATGATAGGTCCACTTTAAGTAAAAAGTACCCATAACTAGCAGCTGTTTTAAAGAGTACCTGACCTCCCTTTATATTAATAGAACAATAATGTCATTGTTAGCTAATGAATGTTTCCATGCTGAACAACGGCAACATGACAACGTTTTCATTGGTCCCTCTTCTTTAGAGAAGACCAGGAAATGATGGATACACGGATCGTGTTCAAATCAATAGGCACGCAATGACTCTAAATAATAATGATCACGCCACCAAACACACATTCAACTAAAGGAACCAGCCTGTTTGGGAAATGTGAGAAGTAGAAAGTACAGGTAATTTGAGGTTCACATGTAAGAAGTAGAAAGTACAGGTATTTGTGTTCAACATGTAAGAAGTAGAAAGTACAGGTATTTGGGTTCAACATGTAAGAAGTAGAAAGTACAGGTATTTGTTCAACATGTAAGAAGTAGAAAGTACAGGTATTAGTGTTCAACATGTAAGAAGTAGAAAGTAAAGGTATTTGTGTTCAAAATGTGAGAAAGTAGAAAGTACAGGTATTTGGGTTCAAAATGTGATAAGTAGAAAGTACAGGTATTTGTGTTCAACATGTAAGAAGTAGAAGTACAGGTATTTGTGTTCAAAATGTAAGAAGTAGAAAGTACAGGTATTTGTTGTTCAAAATGTAAAGAAGTAGAAAGTACAGGTATTTGTGTTCAAAATGTAGAAGGAGAAAAGTACAGGTATTTGTGTTCAACAGTAAGAAGTAGAAAGTACAGGTATTTGTGTTCAACATGTAAGAAGTAGAAAGTACAGGTATTTGTGTTCAAAATGTAAGAAGTCAAAGTAAAAAGTCCTCCACTCCACTAAATAAGTATTGGAGTAAAGTACTGATACCAGAAACATGTACTTTAAGTAGAGTAACAAAGTATTTGTACTCCACTCCTTCCCCCTCTGCCTGCAGGAGGAGGTGTTGGAGCAGCAGCAGCAGGAGAGAGAGGACAGAAGCTTCCAGCGCGTCTGCATGTTCTGCAGCGACGAGTTCTCCGGAAACAGGTACTTGTTGTTATTATTACATCACCTGTCACTCCACGCAATCCCGTTGGTTCCTACTGAAGACGTTATACGATACGATATACTTTAATGTCCCCGTAAGGACATTTGTTCTGGACTCCGTCCTGCAGCATACATGTACATATACAAACATAATAAACATTAAAATACATACACATATGATCACTCGTGCACCGTTTGAACAAACACAGACACACTGACCATGGTGACCTGTTGCACAACCCTCATGGCCAACATTTAAAAGTATATTACATTACATGTATTTACATTCTATCTTTTCTTATGTGAGTGTTGAGAAGCTTCATGGACATACTGTAGGCAGGAATGATCAACACATGTTGATGTAGAAGAGACATGAAGAAGAGGGGACACATGTTGATGTAGAAGAGACATGAAGAAGAGGGGACACATGGTGATGTAGAAGAGACATGAAGAAGAGGGGACACATGTTGATGTAGAAGAGACATGAAGAAGAGGGGACACATGGTGATGTAGAAGAGACATGAAGAAGAGGGGACACATGTTGATGTAGAAGAGACATGAAGAAGAGGGGGACACATGTTGATGTAGAAGAGACATTGAAGAAGAGGGGACCACATGTTGATGTAGAAGAGACATGAAGAAGAGGGGACACATGGTGATGTAGAAGAGACATGAAGAAGAGGGGACACATGTTTGATGTAGAAGAGACATGAAGAAGAGGGGACACATGTTGATGTAGAAGAGACATGAAGAAGAGGGGACACATGTTGATGAAGAAGAGACATGAAGAAGAGGGGACACATGTTGATGAAGAAGAGACATGAAGAAGAGGGGACACATGTGATGTAGAAGAGACATGAAGAAGAGGGGACACATGTTGATGTAGAAGAGACATGAAGAAGAGGGGACACACGTTGATGTAGAAGAGACATGAAGAAGAGGGGACAACACGTTGATGTAGAAGAGACATGAAGAAGAGGGGACACATGTTGATTGTAGAAGAAGACATGAAGAAGAGGGGAGGGACACATGTTGATGATAAGAGACATGAAGAAGAGGGGACACATGTTGGATGTAGAAGAGACATGAAGAAGAGGGGACACATGTTGATGAGAAGAGACATGAAGAAGAGGGGACACATGTTGATGTAGAAGAGACATGAAGAAGAGGGGGACACATGTGATGAAGAAGAGACATGAGAAGAGGGGACACATGTTGATGTAAGAAGAGACATGAAGAAGAGGGGACACATGTTGATGTAGAAGAGACATGAAGAGAGGACACATGTTGATGTAGAAGAGACATGAAGAAGAGGGGACCAATGTTGATGTAGAAGAGACATGAAGAAGAGGGGACACATGTTGATGAAGAAGAGACATGAAGAAGAGGGGACACATGTTGTATGTATAGACGAGACATGAAGAAGAGGGGACACATGTTGATGTAGAAGAGACATGAAAGAAGAGGGGACACATGTTGATGTAGAAGAGACATGAAGAAGAGGGGACACATGTTGATGTAGAAGAGACATGAAGAAGAGGGGACACATGTTGATGTAGAAGAGACATGAAGAAGAGGGGACACATGTTGATGTAGAAGAGACATGAAGAAGAGGGGACACATGTTGATGTAGAAGAGACATGAAGAGAGGGGACACATGTTGATGTAGAAGAGACATGAAGAAGAGGGGGACACATGTTGATGTAGAAGAGACATGAAGAAGAGGGGACACATGTTGATGTAGAAGAGACATGAAGAAGAGGGGACACATGTTGATGTAGAAGAGACATGAAGAAGAGGGAGGACACATGTTGATGTAGAAGAGACAGGAAGAAGAGGGGACACATGTTGATGTAGAAGAGACATGAAGAAGAGGGGACACATGTTGATGTAGAAGAGACATGAAGAAGAGGGGACACATGTTGATGTAGAAGAGACATGAAGAAGAGGGGACACATGTTGATGTAGAAGAGACATGAAGAAGAGGGGACACATGTTGATGTAGAAGAGGACATGAAGAAGAGGGGACACATGTTGATGTAGAAGAGACATGAAGAAGAGGGGACACATGTTGATGTAGAAGAGACATGAAGAAGAAAGGGGGGACACATGTTGATGTAGGAGAGACATGAAGAAGAGGGGACACATGTTGATGTAGAAGAGACATGAAGAAGAGGGGACACATGTTGATGTAGAAGAGACATGAAGAAGAGGGGACACATGTTGATGTAGGAGAGACATGAAGAAGAGGGGACACATGTTGATGTAGAAGAGACATGAAGAAGAGGGGACACATGTTGATGTAGAAGAGACATGAAGAAGAGGGGACACATGTTGATGTAGGAGAGACATGAAGAAGAGGGGACACATGTTGATGTAGGAGAGACATGAAGAAGAGGGGACACATGTTGATGTAGAAGAGACATGAAGAAGAGGGGACACATGTTGATGTAGGAGAGACATGAAGAAGAGGGGACAGATGTTAATGTAGAAGAGACATGAAGAAGTGGATTTTGTTTAATAGGTGACCTTTCAAATCAAGCTGCATCCTGTCTGTGTGTCAGATCGTCTCTGCTGAACCACATGGCCAGAGAACACTCGTTCAGCATCGGTCTGCCCGACAACATCGTTTACTGCAACCAGTTCCTGGACGCGCTGCAGGGGAAGCTGGACAAGTGAGAGACCTTCAATCCATTCATAAAAACCAACCCAGTCTCACGGCATTTTGTGTAATAGTCACGACATGTAATCTATTGATTCGTGTTCACCAACACCATTTCCCCCTTTTTTTCGTGTCACACAGAACGATTTAAAAAGCAATGTATTTCTATTGGTAGTGTGTTTCGTGCCTGCACCACGTCTTTTTGTCCGGTCGGGTCTTGGAAGACCGGAAGCTGTGTGGTTCATAAAAACATGTTCTTACTCAATCAAGCCACGATTATTGTTTTTATTTTAAATCGTATAATGTCTGAGTTTCTTTGCCGTCTGTGAGGAAAAGAAATGTCTCAGAGCCTCAGAATACTGACATCTGTGTTTTTTTAAATCTGTTTTTCCTTCTAGTTTGTTATTCTTTGGTGCAGGCACGAAACATCTACCAATAGAAATACAATTGTTCTATGTGATACGAAAAAAAAGTGAAAATGGTGTTAGTGAACACGAATCAATAGATTAAATGTCGTGACTATAACACGAAATGCCGTGAGACTGGGTTGTATAAACTATAGATCAGGGGGGGCCAAACTTCGGCCCGGGGGCCAAATGCGGCCCGTTGCCTACTTTTAATTGTCCCGCAGCAAATGCTAAAAGTATAATGTAACACGGCCCACACCAGAAACTTGTGCTTGTCTTATATTGTACTTCTTAATTATAAGTATATACAAATATACTACACAGTTGTATTTATGTGTTAATATTTCAATCAATTAAAGGAGAAAACATTTTCAAACAAATCTTAGTTGATACAAAAAACAAGCCCAATAACTTATTTCCATAACAAGCTTGAAATAAACCTTCATATTTCCTGTCATTATAATCACTCTGAAGTTTCTGTTTGAACACAGTGTTATTATAACGACACAGTTATGATCCCTGCACTCCTATTTAGTTCATTTCTATATTTTAACACAAGACAACTGTGTGTGTGTGTGTGTGTGTGTGTGTGTGTGTGTGTGTGTGTGTGTGTGTGTGTGTGTGTGTGTGTGTGTGTGTGTGTGTGTGTGGTGTGTGTGTGTGTGTGTGTGTGTGTGTGTGTGTGTGTGTGTGTGTGTGTGTGTGTGTGTGTGTGTGTGTGTGTGTGTGTGTGTGTGTGTGTGTGTGTGTGTGTGTGTGTGTGTCAGTCTGCAGTGTTTGTATTGTGAGAAAACCTTCAGAGATAAAACCACGCTGAAGGATCACATGAGGAAGAAAGCTCACCGCCGCATCAACGCCAACAACAGCGAGTACGACCGATACTACATCATCAACTACCTGGTAACTACACCTCTCCTTGAAATACATGACATAGTTAATGGAGGAGGCTAATGTTGGGCTATAAAGGAACTACAGCACGGTCACATGACTTCACGTCACCACCGCTAAGCTAAAGGTGGCTAATGTTGGGCTATAAAGGAACTACAGCACGGTCACATGACTTCACGTCACCACCGCTAAGCTAAAGGCGGCTAATGTTGGGCTATAAAAGAACTACAGCACGGTCACATGACTTCACGTCACCACCGCTAAGCTAAAGGTGGCTAATGTTGGGCTATAAAGGAACTACAGCACGGTCACATGACTTCACGTCACCACCGCTAAGCTAAAGGCGGCTAATGTTGGGCTATAAAGGAACTACAGCACGGTCACATGACTTCACGTCACCACTGCTAAGCTAAAGATGGCTAATGTTGGGCTATAAAGGAACTACAGCATGGTCACATGGCTTCACGTCACCACCGCTAAGCTAAAGGTGGCTAATGTTGGGCTATAAAGGAACTACAGCACGGTCACATGACTTCACGTCACCACCGCTAAGCTAAAGGCGGCTAATGTTGGGCTATAAAGGAACTACAGCACGGTCACATGACTTCACGTCACCACCGCTAAGCTAAAGGCGGCTAATGTTGGGCTATAAAGGAACTACAGCACGGTCACATGACTTCACGTCACCACCGCTAAGCTAAAGGTGGCTAATGTTGGGCTATAAAGGAACTACAGCACGGTCACATGACTCACGTCACCACCGCTAAGCTAAAGGTGGCTAATGTTGGGCTATAAAGGAACTACAGCACGGTCACATGACTTCACGTCAACCACCGCTAAGCTAAAGGTGGCTAATGTTGGGCTATAAAGGAAGACAGCACGGTCACATGACTTCACGTCACCCCACCGCTAAGCTAAAGGTGGCTAATGTTGGGCTATAAAGGAACTACAGCACGGTCACATGACATTCACGTCACCACCGCTAAGCTAAAGGTGGCTAATGTTGGGCTATAAAGGAACTACAGCACGGTCACATGACATTCACGTCACCACCGCTAAGCTAAAGGTGGCTAATGTTGGGCTATAAAGGAACTACAGCACGGTCACATGACTTCACGTCACCACCGCTAAGCTAAAGGTGGCTAATGTTGGGCTATAAAGGAACTACAGCACGGTCACATGACTTCACGTCACCACCGCTAAGCTAAAGGCGGCTAATGTTGGGCATAAAGGAACTACAGCACGGTCACATGACTTCACGTCACCACTGCTAAGCTAAAGGTGGCTAATGTTGGGCTATAAAGGAACTACAGCACGGTCACATGACTTCACGTCACCACCGCTAAGCTAAAGGCGGCTAATGTTGGGCTATAAAGGAACTACAGCACGGTCACATGACTTCACGTCACCACCGCTAAGCTAAAGGCGGCTAATGTTGGGCTATAAAGGAACTACAGCACGGTCACATGACTTCACGTCACCACCGCTAAGCTAAAGGCGGCTAATGTTGGGCTATAAAGGAACTACAGCACGGTCACATGACTTCACGTCACCACTGCTAAGCTAAAGGTGGCTAATGTTGGGCTATAAAGGAACTACAGCATGGTCACATGGCTTCACGTCACCACCGCTAAGCTAAAGGTGGCTAATGTTGGGCTATAAAGGAACTACAGCACGGTCACATGACTTCACGTCACCACCGCTAAGCTAAAGGCGGCTAATGTTGGGCTATAAAGGAACTACAGCACGGTCACATGACTTCACGTCACCACCGCTAAGCTAAAGGCGGCTAATGTTGGGCTATAAAGGAACTACAGCACGGTCACATGACTTCACGTCACCACCGCTAAGCTAAAGGTGGCTAATGTTGGGCTATAAAGGAACTACAGCACGGTCACATGACTTCACGTCACCACCGCTAAGCTAAAGGTGGCTAATGTTGCGCTATAAAGGAACTACAGCACGGTCACATGACTTCACGTCACCACCGCTAAGCTAAAGGTGGCTAATGTTGCGCTATAAAGGAACTACAGCACGGTCACATGACATCACGTCACCACCGCTAAGCTAAAGGTGGCTAATGTTGGGCTATAAAGGAACTACAGCACGGTCACATGACTTCACGTCACCACCGCTAAGCTAAAGGTGGCTAATGTTGGGCTATAAAGGAACTACAGCACGGTCACATGACTTCACGTCACCACCGCTAAGCTAAAGGTGGCTAATGTTGGGCTATAAAGGAACTACAGCACGGTCACATGACTTCACGTCACCACCGCTAAGCTAAAGGTGGCTAATGTTGGGCTATAAAGGAACTACAGCACGGTCACATGACATCACTTCACCACCGCTAAGCTAAAGGTGGCTAATGTTGGGCTATAAAGGAACTACAGCACGGTCACATGACATCACGTCACCACCGCTAAGCTAAAGGTGGCTAATGTTGGGCTATAAAGGAACTACAGCACGGTCACATGACTTCAAGTCACCACCGCTAAGCTAAAGGCGGCTAATGTTGGGCTATAAAAGAACTACAGCACGGTCACATGACTTCACGTCACCACCGCTAAGCTAAAGGTGGCTAATGTTGGGCTATAAAGGAACTACAGCACGGTCACATGACTTCACGTCACCACCGCTAAGCTAAAGGCGGCTAATGTTGGGCTATAAAGGAACTACAGCACGGTCACATGACTTCACGTCACCACTGCTAAGCTAAAGATGGCTAATGTTGGGCTATAAAGGAACTACAGCATGGTCACATGGCTTCACGTCACCACCGCTAAGCTAAAGGTGGCTAATGTTGGGCTATAAAGGAACTACAGCACGGTCACATGACTTCACGTCACCACCGCTAAGCTAAAGGCGGCTAATGTTGGGCTATAAAGGAACTACAGCACGGTCACATGACTTCACGTCACCACCGCTAAGCTAAAGGCGGCTAATGTTGGGCTATAAAAGAACTACAGCACGGTCACATGACTTCACGTCACCACCGCTAAGCTAAAGGTGGCTAATGTTGGGCTATAAAGGAACTACAGCACGGTCACATGACTTCACGTCACCACCGCTAAGCTAAAGGCGGCTAATGTTGGGCTATAAAGGAACTACAGCACGGTCACATGACTTCACGTCACCACCGCTAAGCTAAAGGCGGCTAATGTTGGGCTATAAAGGAACTACAGCACGGTCACATGACTTCACGTCACCACCGCTAAACTAAAGGCGGCTAATGTTGGGCTATAAAGGAACTACAGCACAGGCACATGACTTCACGTCACCACTGCTAAGCTAAAGGTGGCTAATGTTGGGCTATAAAGGAACTACAGCACGGTCACATGGCTTCACGTCACCACCGCTAAGCTAAAGGTGGCTAATGTTGGGCTATAAAGGAACTACAGCACGGTCACATGGCTTCACGTCACCACCGCTAAGCTAAAGGTGGCTAATGTTGGGCTATAAAGGAACTACAGCACGGTCACATGGCTTCACGTCACCACCGCTAAGCTAAAGGTGGCTAATGTTGGGCTATAAAGGAACTACAGCACGGTCACATGACTTCACGTCACCACTGCTAAGCTAAAGGCAGCTAATGTTGTTTCAGCACTTGATACATTTTTAGTGGAGGTTTTTCTCCTCTTTCTATAAAATCTTTAAATACATTTCGTCTCTCAGGAGCTGGGGAAAACGTGGGAGGAGGTTCAGAGCGAAGACGACCGTGAGATAGTGGACGATGGAGACGAGTGAGTGGATCCATCGTTAGATTAGATTAGATCTCATTGCAAACGTTAAAAAAGTGATGAAAATGAAAGAAAACCTAAAACATGGATGAAGTTAATTTTGTGATTTCCTGTGTCTCTCTGTGCTGCGCAGTGATTGGTCGGACTGGCAGTCTCATCCCGTCTCAGCTGTTTGTCTCTTCTGCGAACATCAGTCAGAAACTATGGACCAGATCTACACACACATGAAGGTAAAACACACACACACACACACACACACACACACACACACACACACACACACACACACACTGATCTTGTTTAATTATTGCCCCTCTTAATTTCTCTACAGGAGGCTCATGGCTTTGATCTCCACGAGCTGAGGACGGAGCTCAGTGAGTAAAACCACATAAACAAATAAATATTGAAATCAAAGTGCACCTCCTTAAAATTAATATTGTTTTCCTGTGTGTGTGTGTGTGTGTGTGCAGGTCTGCGTTTCTACGACCAGGTGAAGCTGGTGAACTTCCTCCGCCGTCAGCTCCATCAGAGCCGCTGCTACGGCTGCCAGGAAACGTTCAGCTGCAGACAGGAAGTCCTCCGACACCTGAAGGAGGCGGGACATGTGATGCAGCTTCCTCACAAGTCCACCTGGAACCAGCCTCAGTGAGTAGTGTCTCTACTTTAAAGAGTCCTCTCCTGCTGATGTTCAGGTGTATATCAGTATGTAGTGTCTCTACTTTAAATAGTCCTCTCCTGCTGATGTTCAGGTGTATATCAGTATGTAGTGTCTCTACTTTAAAGAGTCCTCTCCTGCTGATGTTCAGGTGTATATCAGTATGTAGTGTCTCTACTTTAAAGAGTCCTCTCCTGCTGATGTTCAGGTGTATATCAGTATATGGTGTCTCTACTATAAAGTGTCCTCTCCTGCTGATGTTCAGGTGTATATCAGTATGTAGTGTCTCTACTTTAAAGAGTCCTCTCCTGCTGATGTTCAGGTGTATATCAGTATGTAGTGTCTCTACTTTAAAGAGTCCTCTCCTGCTGATGTTCAGGTGTATATCAGTATGTAGTGTCTCCACTTTAAAGAGTCCTCTCCTGCTGATGTTCAGGTGTATATCAGTATGTAGTGTCTCTACTTTAAAGAGTCCTCTCCTGCTGATGATCAGGTGTATATCAGTATTTAGTGTCTCTACTTTAAAGAGTCCTCTCCTGCTGATGTTCAGGTGTATATCAGTATGTAGTGTCTCTACTTTAAAGAGTCCTCTCCTGCTGATGTTCAGGTGTATATCAGTATGTAGCGTCTCCACTTTAAAGAGTCCTCTCTCCTCAGGTATTACTTCCCCACGTATGAGAACGACGCCCTCCTCTGCACGCTGTCTGACGGCGATGAAGACGACCGTAACGTCAGCGAAGATGTCCCGGTGATCTCAGAGGACGTTTCCAACCTTCGAGCTTTGAAACAGAACTCCGTCCTCAAATCGATGCTGAAGAGCCGAGGGTCCTGCAGGTAGAAGACTTCCTGTTCCTGGACGAATCTTCCTCCTCCTCATCCTCTGTAAAGAAACTCTAATAATCAAAGCCATGCTGCTTCCCTGAACACTTCAAATCTCTATTTTCAGAAGTGAAGTTCAACCTTTTTCCAGCAGGGGGCGTCACACTCAAATCCCACAAGAGCTTGCAAAGAATATACAATAGTTGAATATTTGCTTTGAATGATTTGCCCCAGCCTTCTGCTTTCAGACGTAGTTCATTATGAAGTTACCAGAACTGATAATAATCCAATGCAGAGCCAATAATATAAGACATTATTTAATATATATATTTATGTATTTTTATATATTCTTAAAGTTACAACCGGCCCTTTGAGTGCAACCTTAATGCTGATGTGGCCCACCATGAAATTGAGTTGAACCCCCTGCTCTACAGGATACACACGTCTGTCCACGCCACAGAGGAACATTCAGACTCTGCTTCTTTTGATTATAAAGTTTATAACTTCATGTGAAAATGCTTTGAGATCAGAATGCAATAAAGTAGGTCGCTCAATCTCAGAAGTGCAAACTCATCTGGAGTCGATTTAGACCCTGGAAATGAGTCAGGGTCGAAACTTAACGTACCTGTTTACATCAAAACAAGGGAAATGATTGATAACATATCAGATGTTGATCAGTAATAACACGGTTATGAATAGAAAGGATCCGTCTCGCGTAAAACTCTCCCAAGAGTTTGTAAGTCACGTTTGGCAGCCTTTCAGTTACGATCGTTAACATCAGTGGGCCACAGCAAATGATGGTGACTCGCTAAACTATCTATTCATTATGTCAATTACAGGGAGTGTGATTGTTCAAATAGGATGTTAGCGATCTTGCTGTTGAAAGGAGAATGACAACACTGCAGATCACCAACACTATGGTTTATTTTGTATTCACAGGCAACGTTGTCGCAGTAAAAGTATAAAAATAGCCGATGACAAAGTCCTCCTGGTGCAGTAAACGGTTCCCTGTTTTACTATTATATCTGATATGTCTCTCTTCATATTGCTGCTGCATTAATGTGTATGCTGCATGTTACTGCTGGAGATGTGTTGACCTCCTTTATATCCCGTTGGGTAGTTCAATCTGCAGCAATGCATCATATTCTATAAGATCATCATGTGTAGCTTTGTCTCTGTCCTGTGAGAACCACGTATCTCTCTAAAGTAAACCTTTCAAGAGTTCCTCAGAAAAACAGCTGTTGTGACGATGCATTTTCCAGCTGATCCAAGAGGCTTTTTAAACACTTCACTTGGCTTAAGAAGGAGAGGCATTTTCTCAACACATAAAGGAACACTTTATCCTTCTTCCCGAGCGCTTCCCGAGCCGCTCCGATTCCAACGAGAATTACAACCAGAACGTGACGTCATATTTACACAAGACGGATCCTTTCTAGCCATAACCTAATAACACGCTGGAAGAATGCATGAACAATCCTACATTGACACGTGTGTATGTACTAAAGTATGATGAGCAAAATGTCCTTAAAGTATTTAATGTGAAAAGTACCAAATGCAGAAAAATCAACAAGAAAAACACCCGCAGACTCAAAACAATCCCTAGTTTATTAATTAAAGTGAAAATAGTACATCTGTGCAAACTCATGACCCAATTAAGACCCTTCAAATTGACATTGTCAAACTTAACGTGCGGTTAATGAAAAATCTCGTCTCTATTTAGAACTGTTTTGTAAATTTGCTGCATGATTGTAAGTCTCTGGACCCTCATAGGGACTCTTTAAAGTAACTCTTTAAAGTAACCACACCCTGAGCGGAACCACAGGAACAAACCACATCTTTCTCTCTGCTAAATATGAAATCAAAGTTGTTTATCTACTTCACGGTGTTTTTGTTTGGCACACACACACACACACACACACACACACACACACACACTCACTCACTCACTCACTCACTCACTCCCATACACACACACACACACACACACACACACACATACACACACACACACACACTCACTCACAGACACACACACACTCACACACACACACTCACACACACACACACACACACACACACACTCACTCACTCACTCACTCACTCACTCCCATACACACACACACACACACACACACACACACACATACACACACACACACACACTCACTCACAGACACACACACACTCACACACACACACTCACACACACACACACACATACACACACACACACACACTCACTCACAGACACATACACACACACACACACACACACCCACACACACACACACACACACACCACACACACACTCACTCACAGACACACACATACCCATACACACACACACTCACACACACACACACTCACACACACACACACACACACACACACACACACATACATTTAATAAAACATGAACTAAAAGCTGATAGATCATTTCCTGTCTGGATCAAGCGTCCTCATTCTCTCTCCTCGTTGCTGTTTCAGTAGAAAATTAAAAACCCAGTGAAAACTTTTCACCACCTCTCTCTCTCTCTGTAGCCGTGCACACGTGACAATAAAAGCCTTGAACCAGAACCTTGATCTTTGTCTGTTACTCCTGAGTGGAAAACTACTGCAGCACTTCAAACCCCGCCCCCCAAACATACACACCCCATTCTCTCTACAGAGCCCCCCCCCCAAAACACACACACCCCATTTTCACCGGCGCCATCTTTTTAGCTTAAGCTTTAGCAGAATGATTTTAGAAAGATCTCCATGTCCTGCTGTTTCTCAGACTGTACTCTGAGTTCACGTCATCAGTGAAGAATGCAGTCTGAACCGGTCTGACATCGGGGCAGGAAGAAAAATGTAAACATGTATCTATGTGTCTCTGCTTAGCTTCAGTCGTCACTTATATAAAGGCTGTAATAACCAACATTAGAAACATGTGGCTGTTAATGCACTTACATGTTTCAGATGTATTTTTAAAGTCTGGGATTAAACATTTGAGCATCGATGGAACTACTATAATGATAACTAAGAATAACAATACTTGGTATTATGTTGATAATAATATATTCATGTTGGTGGGCTGTACAGCACATTAGCAGGAAAAGCAATTCAGAGAATATATTACATTTGAAGGTTTATACAAAATCAGCCTCAACAAATATGTTCCTATACATCCAAACTGCATTCTCAATTTAAATGTTTGTGGATGTTTGATTCTGACTTCCAGTGCTGGCTGGGTCCGAGCACAGTTGGCTCTGTCTGCTGTTCTTGCATTATTATTTCCCTGCAGGTAAAGCCCTGTTTTTAAGGCACTGATCATGCTCAGAGAGTTGTACAAAATTGTATGAGGGGCCGTACAGGCCGTAATTCATACTGGTCCTCTCACGCACATACATTCTCCTTTTACATACATATATTTTCAAAACAAAAGCACTCGTTTGCTTGGAACGGTAATAATATTATAAACAAGGGGAAACAAGTTGAATTTAGCGATCACAACGAAAACGGCCAAGACGCACATTGAGCCCAGAAAATGAATGTTATTAAAGACTGTAATGTAAATATAATAAGTCTGTGTCTAAAATGGACAACATTGTTAGGAGATTTAAACTATACAGCGATTCTGCACTGCGGTCACGCTTCATTTTTTTGTACAAATATTTTTTACCACAAGTTCTTAATAAAACTGACACTGTTGGACTCGGTATTAGTTTGACTGCTACCAACAATACATTGAAGTACTTTTACTGTGTCTTTTTTGAGAAAGACTCTGTCAAAGTCCCCTCCTGAGAACAAAAGCAAGCCACTTCTGCTAAGTTTGATGAGGGAATTATTTTTTGTTGTCATTAGTTCTTCGTGAGATTGATCCTGTTGGACTCAGTACTAGTGAAACCCCCACAAGTACTATGAAGTACTTTTACTGTGTAGTTACTTTATCAACTCTGAATCTTGTGGTGCTTGAGACTCATAAGGCAGTACTAGATTTAGTAATATTACCATGAATCTAGTTATTTATTTACCATATTTTATTGAAAAACATCTCTGAAACTGAAAAAGTCATATTGCTAGTTTACCATAAAAGGCCAAATCGACCGATAGGTTGAGCATATTTTCAAAAAAATAATTACACCCTTGTTAAAACCTTTTTTGTGCATCAAGTTATCTAATTATGTTCAGTCAGTGCTCTGACACTAAAACATGTCACAAATGACATGGTTACCTTACAAAAGTTGACCAAAAAGAGTATTTTCGTCAGCAGTGATTTTTAGCATGCCAACTTTCTCAGTTGAAGCTAGCTGAAGGGCTTTCTATTCGAACCACAGTGACATCTAGAGGTGTTTTTGTGCATAACATGTCAACCAAATGGTAGAGCTGGCTGAATCAGATGGAGTTACGGCCCGTCCACACAGCAGCGTTAAAAAAATCTTGGAACGCTTCTGCCCATTCACTTTGAATGGGGTGACGTCACTTTGCCTCACTTTTCGCCGAACTGCATTGTGGGCAGGCGAGCGGAGATTCTCAGGATTTTCAGGATTCAAAGTTGAGCAATGTTCAACTTTTGAAGCTGAGGTGGAAGCGTCAGCCAATCAAATCCTGTGTATGCAAATCTGACAGTTCAAGCGCTAGCCAATCAAACGGCGTGTATGCTGGGAGAGACATACCGCAGGTCATTTCCTCATATTCCAAAACATGGAGGAGAAGTTAGCGGTAGGGAATCACCCGGTGCTTTATGACCAGTCCCTATTTACCTACCGGGATACAAACCGGAGGAGCCAGGCATGGAGGGAGGTGGCAGAGACAGTGGTAGGTTTTCTCCTGTTTGGGGAGTTTATATCCAGTTTACTTCGTATGTCGGGGGCGGGAGATTCATGTGATTGGTTGTTGGTGCCTTGCTCGCAAAAAATCCTCAAGCTTCAGATACGCCCACCTCCAAGATTTTTTTAACGCTGCTGTGTGGACGGGCCGTTACACCTTTAATTTATTTTTCAACAAGATATCAAGACACAAAATGAGCTCTACCAAATGGTGGCGCTGGCTGTTAAAGGGTTAAAAATATTCTTCATTTGCAGTATTTTATTTTAAAAGTGTTCAGAAAGACTGCATCAATGATATGCTATATATATATAATATGAATATTTGTATTAACTTCAACCAAAGTCAATTTAAATAGCGGGCAAAAATTGGTTGATTGCCATGGATGTGGTGTTTGATATAGTTTACGTTCAATTTCAACTATTTTAGGCAGAAAAACGTCTATTGACTAAACGCTTTTTATTAATTTACTATTTAGAAAGGTTTTTGTGAGAAATC